ATTTTAAAAGCTCCTATTTTTTTATACCTCTTTTATGCACTTAAAATGGCATAAACAGAAAAGTATTAAATTACTAAAGTAGTATATTACCATTTGAATAAAATTTTAAACATAGACATATATAAAGAGGATTGCAAACTATACGTTACTTCAAAATTTCATCATAACCGTTCGATTTTATTTTGAATACAGACGATAAGAGCACAGCATAAGTAAATAAAAATTTAATTAAGACAGAAATTTAAAATCAATGCATTATACGGCATTAGAAACATATTTTATTTATCATACTTACAGTACAGTATAACACAGAATTTGTTGCAATATATTATTAAAAAGTACAGATATAGTAACTTCTTTAAATGATTCCTTTCTTCACATTGATAAATCACACACTTAAAATCATGCGCTTAAATCATAAATCGAAAATAAATAAAAGGCTATATACATCGTCGGCTGGCAACAGTGTAATATCATGTTTCTGAGTTGCTTATGAAGAGGATTTGATCGCTAATTAAAAAAATGTATAATACAATTTTCTTTCCAAAAATGAAACAGTTAAACGTAAATGTGATAACAAAAACAAAAAAATATTGATAACAGTGTCGGATTTAAGAACAGGGTGCCACCCTAACCTTATACTTTTGGAGGTCCCTTATAAGACCAGGGTATATTTACAGTTTTTAGAAAAATACATAATGATATAGAGACAGTTTGTAATTTTTTCCTTATTTTACAACGCATTTAAATCTATATTAAGCAAAGAAAAAACATCCTTTCTATATTTAAAGAAGCTGTTTTTGTGTTTTAGATCAGCTGAAGTATTTATACGCACAGTGTAGATATAGATGTAAGAAACTAAAAGTGGAGGACAAGTTAAAATTTTTGCGTGCACTGTTGAAGGAATTTGTCCAAGTGGTTTTTAGAGAAGCACGTATCTCAAGTCACGAAGACCAGGAATAGATTTAATACATTTAGTAGATAAAAGGAATAGGAACTTCGGCAAAAGATAACAATGTTGAGTGAAAAAGGGAGAAAGCATAAAGCAAAAACGAACATCATAGAAAAGGATAAAAAATCAATACATAGCAATGAATGAACAGAAATATATATATGGACACCATTTATATGTTACTAATGGATATTTATAAAACAAGTAAGCCATTATGACACTTATCATATAAAAAAATATCTATCGCTGACAAGATTCTTGCAAATGAAATCTATTTCCCGTTATACAAAGAATTTAATACTGCATTCAGTTGCCGAATGAGATAAGTGCTGGGGCTTGACTGAGTACATTTCACTTTCAGTTTTATAACAATTGATTTGATAAATTAATGCAAAACATTTTTATGCCTTAATCTAAAACATTTTTATGCCTTAATCTTAAACATTTTTGCTTGGTTGCTCCTTTATGTGTATGTATATAAACAGTAATAAAACTGAAAGGAAATGAAGAAGTTGAAGAAAATTTGAATTCAATTTGAATTTTGATCATTTGATCAATTTGAATCAAAAATTTGAATTTTTCCTCATTTGCGTTCATGTTCTGGTGGTTATTTATTGACCTCAAACATTTGTCGACCTCAAACAACATCAGAATTTCAGCGATATCAAAATAAAAAGTAAATTCACTATTTACATTCTTATGCATCATTTTGACCTTTGCAGAATGTTTCGATATATTCGCTGTACTCATCAAACAGAGGAATGCTGTTAAACGAAAGAAAACAGTAGTGAGATAAGGGAAAAAACAATTAATTTAAGAATTCGTAGAAAAATAATGAAAGGTCATCGCGAAACAAGCATCTGTGAACTGATGCAAAAAATATTCAGTATGCCATCCACTGCATTTTGCTATGAGCTAAAAGTGGAAAAGAAAGAGTATCTTCCACTACAGATCGGAGTGTATCAGTGGTGAAGTTCATGGATATTGTTGTCATGCGTTCCTTTAAATCAGCCAAGTTCGCAGTCTGACCATTGTACACAACATTTGAGACGCCCCCAAAACCAGATTGTCTCAAGATGATCCGGTGAAAACGGCGACTAGACTGTTGGAAAATGATAGCTGATATTTTTATCATTTCAAAAATGGAAGCAGCTTCTTTACTAATGTTGTAATGTGTGGAGGAGCGCCATCGAGCACAAAAGTTGCGCTGTCCGCACAATCACGTTCTTGAAGGGCCGAAATGACCTGACTACGCAAAGAAGATTCATGCGTTGGCTAGTGACGGGATAGGTAATAGGACCTGTCTTCCTGAAAAAGAATATGTCGGAAATAAACATTGCCGTAAATCCGCACTACTCAGTCGTCTTCGCAAAATGAAGTCGTAACGATTTCAGCGGGAACGAGCTCCTTTTTTCTGCAATTTTGCGTACTGACATCACTTTGGAAATCGAAATGAACTTCGGCTGTCCACAAAATATTCCATACCCATGTATCGTCAACTTCCATTTCGACCAAGAAATTGTACGACTATAGCTTTATTTTTTGGCAGGTCAGCAGGAAGCAACTCCTGAACATGTGTAATTTTTTATGGATAACATTGCGAGATATTTCCTAAAATTTTGCTAGATGTGCTGAAAGTCATGTCTGATTGATCGGGTAATTCCCTCTGCATTACAGCTTCCTACACTACTACTTGCCTCTTTCAGGAATACTTTAGCTGCATCTTCAACTGACGTCGAAGCGACTGCGTTCCCCCAAATCCCAGGATTCACGTCTAATGAAACGGTCGCGTTCGGAACTTTCTAAGAGCAGTTAACTCACATCGCTGTTTTGGTAAAAATTCATCTTGAGCAGAGCGCGATCCATCAGTGACAGAATAACGAGGGGACGCTCAGACGCAGCTTAACGGGAACTTAATATGCGAAGTGCGTGATAATTAATTTCGCGCTTGACATAGCGGCTATAGTTTTTAGCAGAATTCTCATACTGATGAGTACAGGACCATCTATCGATGCATTTCGGTGCCTTTTTTTTTTTTCTTTTCTTAGCGAAACAAAATTTCATTACTAGGCGTATATTGACGTAAAATTCCAGGTTAGTCTGACTAGCGGTTCTTACTTCAAAGTGTTTTGAAATTGGAATTTTAATTATAATCACTCCGTATGTAATTTAAACATAATTGTTGAAACATTAGAACTTTTAGGACGAGGAAACCGCAGGAATCAATCAGGATTGGAACTCTGGGTCCTCCAATACCCAGCCAGGCGTGTTACTTGTTACACCACAAGAGCGAGGAGTAGTGTAAGGTGAAAATTAAGTATATACTCTCCTAATTAAAGGGCAAGTAAATAGAGAGGAATGAGACCCAATTGGCCAGTTTCAGATGGCAACAAATTATCGTCCGCCACATTTTTAGTCGGGAGCCATTGTCTAAATATTAGGCATTTATTGGGAGCAAGAAACACGAAAAATTAGCCCTCGTCGGAATTCCAAGTCTGGCTCTTCAGACTGCTAGCCGGACAGACTACCAGTTACTCCCCGAGAGCACGCAGTGGGGAAGACGAAAATTCCTTATAGAATAATCAGTATTGTTTAATGCTTGAGAAAAGAAAACTAATTAAATTAACAGCAATTATTAGGCCTTGCATTACAAATATATGTATATATATATATAATATATAGCAAGATGTTAATATATGAAAAATAAGCAAAACTAATTACCTAATTAATTATCAAGTAATTTGACAAAGGATCTTTAATAAAATATATCTCGTTACGATCTTATCTTCTTGTTAAAATATATCTTGTTACTGTCTATAATTCTCAGTCATTGCTACAATGATATTTCACGTATTCTAGAACTGCAAAAAATCACACAATTTGAAAACTCTTAAAATCGGGGTTTTTATTTCTTGAATTTTGAAGCAGCTTCCCATTGAGCAAAATTTATGTATATGAAAATACATGAATTTGTGGTATCCAAATGAACTTTGCTGTTCCATTTAATGGCAGTAGATTTAAACTAAACTAAAACATTTCAGTATTTTCTTGTTTCCTCATTGCTAATCGCGTCTCATAAGAAATTATAACACACGATTTGTTAAACGAAACTCTCTGTTTTCCCCGCGCTTGCTGCCGTGGTGTAATTGATAATACATACAGGTAAAAATCGTAAGATCCCGCTTCAATTAAACGGGATGGTTCTTCTAAGAATTTCGTATAACTATTTCAGTTTCTCATATAGACCGGATTTAATTTTTTAAAATTATTTTAGAAGTTCATAAAACCTTTGAAAACTCATTAACGGTATAAAATAATCCTTTTTTTTTCCTTAAACAGAGCAAGAAACATAAGCAGTATAGCGATTTCTTCTCTGACAAGACAAGGATCAACGTATCAAGAGAGTTTCGATGTTACTTTAAGCTCTTAATGTGCCATCTCGTTGCTGACTGATAAACTTGGTACTTTTCTGCAAGCCCCTATAATGTTCGAAAGCATTCAACTTTTTCCGCAGAAGCATTATTTGAAGTGATTTGTTTCATAAAACCATTACTGAATCCAGCTGAGTATCTTCCAAGAGATTCAATTTTCACTGTTGAATTCTCCGAAAAGGGATTTTTTTTAAGCTATCTCCAGCGAATATTTCGGCTACAGTGTGTTGTCATCGCAAAAAGTGTTAATCCTATTAACTACTTTAGACTTCATAAATAGCAAATAAATATCAAAACAACGTAACTACACATTTTTCAGTCAACATTCATTTTAAAATAAAAGCAAAATTCGGATAAAAATGGGGCATACTTTTGTAGATTTTGTAATCACAATTCATTAAAACTGATTTTAAGCTTGTTTAACTGTCCTAATTTACCAGTTTACTTGAATAATAATGGCATCGTTATTATTTTTACATACATATTTATATACAGACAAATATATTATTAATTTTCTGCTAATTATAATATAAAACAACTAAAAAAAACTATGAATAGCAGTTATATACATTTTTGTATAGGACAGAAGCAAGAATATGCAAAGGATGATAACTTACCATCTACAACTAAAACAAAAGAATGGCTGGCTTTCCCTAAGAGATTAGTCGCGACGCAAGTGTAATTTCCACTATCGGTAGAGAGTGCGTTTCTAAACGTTAAGGCCCAGCGCCCGACACGGAAGGCTCGTGAAACTTGAATCCCGTCTTTGTACCAAGTCATCACGGGTTTAGGATAACCTGTGGCAACACACTGAAACCTGAATGAGGATCCAGGAGTTTTATAAACAGGAGACTCCTCATTGGTTACATAGAGGAGGCGAGGTTTGGCTGAAACGAATATTTCAAAATTGCTTCAAATATCATAATAGTTGATAAGTCCACATATGTATACAAAATGCTCAAAGTAATTATATTCTTGTTTCTTGCCCTAAATCCTTTAAAAATGCAACAGAAAGTATTTAATCTAGTTTTTACCTCCTGCAAACGTTTATGCAGAAATACTAAGGTGGTATAAATGAAATTCAATATTTTCTAACAAAGTCATCTTTTTAATTCCCACCTATAGCCGGCCGAGTGGATAAAAACACTAGACACTAATGTTGAACATGGATTTAAATCCCAGCGAACAGGATGACTGCCTGTGTGCTTTCATAGATTTCCTCACGTATAATATGAATACTGGCCAGTTTTCCTGAAAAAGGTTTCTACGATGAACATTAGCCTGTGTGCATTTGTTACAATCGACTTCACAAACACCTCTTGTAAAATTATGGTACGCTTCTCATCTTAATTCAGTTCCTCACTAAAATTCCTTTTGAAAATTGTAATAAATAACATTTTGTAACATGGATAAGTCGACCCATTGAAATAACATCTTCCTCAGTTTTTTAGACTTAAAAACATAATTCTAGTTTCTTTCCGCGTTAAGCCTATTTAAGTTTTTGCTTAAGTATTTACTATCAGATGTATGTAAGCCGTTTCCGTAAAAATTTAATTATTATTAATTATTAATATTTAATTACTAATATTTAAAAAAAGGGTTTGGACATCGCTGTGTGAATCAATTGTCGAAATGTTGTGTGTTTATACTCATGCGGTGATGAAAGCAAAAAAATAATAAATAATGATTCGCCAGATTGGCGTCAGGGGAATGTAATATAATGTAATGTAAGAGTGTGCTGCAATCCTCCTGGTCGATAATAATCGGCCTCGTCGTTAACGCTGCGCACCCAACACAGATTAAAACAGAAATATAGTTAAAAACATCAAAGCAAAATTCCCAACATTGTTCTATTGCCATTTATAAAGTTCATCAGATCCTTTGCAAATCTAAACTCTTTCCTGCGGCAATAGAATTCCTTTATGTTACCATGTTCTTTCCTAACACGTCGCAATAATACGCAGTCTTCGTCGAAATGTTGTGCATTGCCTTCAGCACTACAAAGACTATTATTTTATAAATTAAATCTTTTCAGATGCTCCGGGAAGAGTCTATGTCCAGTAATTATTTGATTGTAATCAAAATTACGTATCATTCTCATATTTTTAGAAATTTCAAAGCTCAACAAATAATCTTTCTTTTTTCCCGAAATCTTCCATTTCTCTTTCCAGCAATCATAATAGAAATCCTCTATTTAATCAATAGGAATTCTTTTTTATACTTAAATATCGAACGCATCCCCGGCATTACCCATAGCAGCCTCTTTGGCCAGCATGTCGGCCCTCTCATTGCCTATAACACCAATCTGGGCTTTCACCCAGTTCATTTTCACTTCAATTTTCTCAACTTTTACAATGAGATCTTTTATAAATGAGACCAAAATATTGGTGTTAAAATTGGCGCCAGAGTTATATATTATTCAGTAGAAGTAAAATAAATAATGTTTTGATGCAGAATGTTTCGGTTTGAGATGTATGTTAGGCAAAAGGTGGCTACTGAGCCAAATTATTGATCATACAGTTTTATCCTAATAAATAATTGTTTCCTTAATATGGAAACAATTTATTTAGTGTCAAAGCGAAATTAGGAATCAGGACTTCCCACATGTTTTATTATGAAAAAAATATGAAATGCGCATGCGCAAAGAATATTTCAAAAAATTGCTGGTGGTCCGGATTTCAGATCATTCCGAATAATAAACGTCCGGATTTTGGATTTTGGGTTGTATTTTTTCAGTTACATACAAACGCGGACATTTCGCTCTTCGATCTGTGTACTGAGCGTGGATATGATCTGCAGTTTTAATTAATTCTTGTCGCAAGGTAGTGACACATTTTATATTTTTTAATGAAGATTATGAACGTTTTCTAAAATGTAAGTATGAGGATCAGGGCAACGTATAAAAAGTTAGATTTCGTAATTTTTAGAATATTAGAGTTTCCAATTTAAAAATGCCAAAACGTGAATACTTGCCTCATTTAAAACATTTTTGTAGGTGACAGTATATGTCTATTACAAATGCCTGCTAAATTAAAAGGCTTGGTAAGAGTTTTTGTGGATACAGTGTATATTAATCATAATGTTTAAATCTGTGATATTTATTAACAAATATATGTATATGCAACAGAAATTTGTCAGTTAAGTTTGGTTAACTCAGAACTTCACCTATAAATGAATGGTTCCTAAATGTGTAAGGTTATTATTTTAAACTAACCACTTATTATTATTTGGATCTGTACTTAACTTCTTCTTTCCATTTCCTCCCCAGAATGAAAATGAGATAGACAGTATTTAAACAGAAGTTTGGAGAGTTTTGAGAGCTAGTGTGTTCCTGGCCTCGTGTGCACGCTACATTTAGTTCCTGCCAACTCTGATAGTGGTTATTACTCGACTTAATGTTATATCACTCCCTAAACTTTGATTTTGACGCTCTCGTATGCTTACTGAGCCAGCGTCGAGTAATATTTAAAAGGTATAGTCTTTGATTACTGTTTCACATTTAACTTGAATTTGATGGTTCTGTTTAATTGCATCACCACGAACTGTCGCTGATATTGTCAGAAGCAAAAAAGTGCGTTTATGTTCTAGATTTCTCTTTAAATAAAAGTATTATTAAAACTTCCTCATGACTTGTAGTGAATTCAAACCTAGCGGTGATTTGCGAGACTTCAGACCTAACGGTGATCTAGATCTGATGGTGTAATTAATTCCAGATCATTTTATGGACTTGTTTAGGCACATTAACATCATTAAGTTTCTTAATTTCTTAAGATGCTTAGAGTAATAAGGGAAAAACTAAACAGTTCGATAGAATTTCTTATTTCCTGTTACCATATTACTTTACAGTATTTAATACAGAGTAGAAAACCAAATAAATAAATAAGCAATTTAAGTATGCAAATGACTGTAAAAATTAAAAACAGTTTTAAAATAATATTTAAGTAATAGCAAGAATATAGTATGCATGAAAATTTATTTTTAAATTACCTAAAAGTTTCAAAATAATTATGAACTAAATTAACTTTTTAGTGAAAAGATAATAATTATATCTCTATGAGTTTCTAATGAGTCAGCTAACTAAATACTATAATGACTTAACAAAAGTATAAAAAATCATACGTTCACGAAACACAATACTGAATTTTATATCCTATAAAGTAAGATATGTATATATTCTGTTTTTTTAAGCTTTAATTTTTTTCTTGACAGCTATAAGGAAGCATAAATCGAGGAACTTGCATAAGCTAACGTATGAATTATGAAATGCTGTTTTAAAACATCACTTACATGTTAAGCTGATTTTTGAATCATCTGAATCCATATCATCGGAATCATATATATCTTCATAACGTTCATAATCTTCATCACTTCCTAAGAAAATATTATAATAACTGTTAGATAATTCGCAAATAGCTTGCAGTCTAAATATAAAAAATAAGAAGCAAATTTAAAGCTAATACACATTTCATAATTAGTTCCTATATACCTATAACTTGCTATAAGTGCTACAACTTGCTATAAGTGACTGAACAGAAATGTTGTCCTGTACAATTTTTAAAAATGATCATTAACTGACATTGTTGTATCCCGACTTAAGCCATACGCATTACTTAATTTACCATCATTAACTGACATTGTTGTATCCAGACTTAAGCCATACGCATTACTTAATTTACCAGTTTATAACGCATTGCGTTCACCACTAAGCTTTTCAAAAGTCTTTAAGCTTGATTATTTTATTTTAGGCCTTTTATGAAAAAAATTAATTTCGCAAGGGTATACACATCTAAATATCTCATAAATACCGCAAAAACTGTAGATTGATGTTTTTAATTTCTTCTGATTGTTCAAATGTGACAACACCTGCAAAAATCTCACATCTACATGTGTAACCTAATTTTAAGCTGATATACGTTATTTTTAATTTCTCAAACCCCACAACTTTGGATTGAAAATAGTTCTTTTCCTTTGCCTTTTCTACACGTACATAGACTAAAAAACTGTATTTTAAAAAATAACTCGGAACTACCGAGCCATCATAGAGTTGTACTTTCGAACCTACCTCTGCATGTATACTTTAACAGTATTTTTTTTTAAATAAATGAATAAAAACATCAGAATACAATTAAACATTATCTAAGACTTCCCTGTTTATACATGACGTCAAGGAAAAGGTCTGAGAACAAACAACATGTGGTTGAAACTTGGAGGACTTACCGCGGGCGAAATCGATCAATCAGACGTACCCTAATCAAGGCCAGAATAATGAGGTACTTAAGGAGTGGATATCCCATTAATTATCGAAGAGTAACGAGCATTATCATTTCGATGAGTATATTTTGAATGCAAATGCAAACCAGTGAAGGCGTTTGATTTGTTAAAAAAAACTGCTGCATAATATATATAACAACCCTCTGTTATTTGCAATAGCAATATGTATTTATAAATGGTCCAAATGGCTGCTTTTAGCGAGCGGATGAAGATATCATCAAGTGATATAACGGATTGGAAAGACAAAATAGATACAGATGGCATTAAGCTATATAACGTAAACGGCTGACAGAGATAAAGAAATTAACATATGATGCTCGATCCATTATACTGTTAATGGCTTTCGTACCTGCAAACGAAAAGATTTTATTCGTTCCGGAATGCTGTGAACTTGGCACAAAGTTTAGGAGCTAATAAAAAGAAAATGAAGATGAAATTATTTTCCTGTTTGCTGAGATACGTTATCAAATTTGTGATAATGGCCTAAAAATGACTTTAGTTTCCTAAGCCAAATTAAAAGGTTTTCATTCAGATGATAAAGCTTCATCCTTGTTATTCAAACTGAGAGGAAATGTGAAAGCTCTAGAATGATCATGGCCGAGATGTTTTCGTGACATATGCATTATTTTACGTGTTTAATAGACATCCCATCGACTAAATTGATTATTATTGCTTTTGCATACTATAAAGATACAAATTAATTAATGAAATTAAAAATACTATAAACTAAAGAAGAAACAATACAGGCATTACAAGATAAGACCGCGAATTAACTGAATTTCTCCAATGGAAATTTAAACGATATTTTCAACTAGAAGCAAATCTGTTATTCTGCAATCATCTAAAGGTTATTTTAGATTATTTTTATGTACTGATTCATTCATTCCTTCCCAGATACGCTTACGAATGTACATACGGTATTAGTTTCCGCTATAACTAGATAAAAATCCCTCAATAAAGAATATATGAAAGACTAATTACAGATTTAAAAAAAAATTACAATGGACTGTGCTAAACATGTATGTATGTGCATTACATGTTTACTGCAGGCAAAATGAATAGTATTGAAGATTACTTTATTACATAAAATATTTTCTACAATTTAGTTCTGCGATGTTAATTCTAAGCACACCACGGCGCTTTAAAACCTTCGACAGTATAAGTTTTTTAGATCTTATTTCTGAATTTCTTTCGGAATTATGCATGGTAATGTATTAAACCTGTAATTATTAAGTGAAGCATCTTTTTTTTAGAAATTTGAAACACAGCTAAAAACACAGAAGAATTTAAAGGAATTAGCTTAACCAATACTTTATCATGTATTGGAAAAAAATTAATGAATAAAAACTTTAAAATGATAAAAATTTAATGGGCATGTGCAATAAACATACAGGCAAAAATACGAACTCGAACTACATAATGCAAGAAAACTGGCTAGTTAACATTTTATGATGTTAAAGAAAGGTTTTCTTTTGCCATGAACAGTTGTAAGCTATGAATTTAGCAAGTTCAGTGTGTTATTAGTATCTATTTTAAGCTATAAAAAATTTCACTCGGATGAAGATTTGAATTCAGTCTATGTCCGGTTCGGGTGCCTCTCAATTTTTTTGAGTGAAATCTTAATTCTAGCGAAAGCGCAATGGAGCTTCAAATCAGATAAACTCTGCTGTCCACCTGAATGGCAATGTTAACAGAAAAGACTGCTGACAGAAATTATGAATGCCATATTTTATTTAACAGTTAGTAAGACTGATATTTGTGCTAGAAACAGAATGAACGACTGAATTTCTACGTGAAGAGCAAAATGCGTGGGAAATTTCAGCAGCTGAGGAAGAAAATTCCCGTTGTTAAAATCGAACCCTAAAATAAATTTTTATTGCTACATACATTGGTTAAAACGCGTAAAGTGTGTTTAAATGGATTAGAATCCAAAATAAAAAGGACATATATCTCAAGACGAAGGAAAATATTTTTCTTCCCACCTGAGCTATAAGTGCATTTTTGTTTTCCACTGAATGAAAATATTTTGCTTTTGTTTTATCACTGCCTTGGATTATACAGCGGTTAATGGAGGCTGACTGCTAGACTAAATGGCAGGATGAGGGTTGACTCCCGTAAAAGGTTTAGTTGTTTACGCGTTTCTACGCTTTCTCGCAAGTGTCCTATTAGACCACCTAGTGGTGCACCCTGAACAACGCCCTCGGTGACGAGATGGTTAAATAACTGATCGGTTAGGCTATTTTTAAAAAATATGGCAGAAGTATGTGTCCAACCATTTGGGGAGGAACACAGAGAAAGAAATAAAACCTCCCTTTTATCCTCTGGTATCATTCTTATTATTATAAATTTACTTACTTTTCATTTCTTTAATTATTTCACTTAATGCTTATAAGGTATTTCTCCCACCTTCTTAGCGTGCCTTCGTAGTGTAGTGGTCAGCACACTCGGGGCGTATTCGAGAGGTCCGTGGTTCGGGTCCCGGCAAGAGCATTGCTCATTTCTTCGATTTCCTTGTTTCGAAAAATTCTCTAAAGTCTCTACAGTGGCACCCAAAATAAAAAAGATGCTGGTTGATGATTCTCCACCACCAGGATTTGGAGATTGGGTCCTCTAATCCCCAGTCGCCCTTTAAAAGGGGCAGCATATAAGATATTTCTCCCGCCTTCTTGGCATACGTTCGTGGCGTGGTGGTCTGCACGCTGGGCGTGTATTCCAAAGGTCCGCGCTTCGATTCCCAGCGAAGGTGTTGCTAATTTTTCATCTTTCTGGCTTCGAAAAAAAATCATAATGTCTCTACAAGGTCATGAATGATTTTATTAGTTTTCAATAAAGTATCAGCATTTTTTATTACATTTTTATTAGACATCTTAGTTTAAATCTCTGAATGCGATTCCAATGGACTTTCGAGCATTAAAGCTTGCTGAAACAAACTTGCTATTGTTGTTGTGACTTATCTCACTTGTCTGACAGCAAATTCAACAAGCCCACGAAATTCATCGTGGCAAGAAGTGCAAGATTGCGCCGTCGTCGGCAAGAGCCTTGAGCACCATACAAGTGCGAATACCACTTTACTCCGTTCCGCTCCCAGTTTTGATGGAGAGCACTCCGAGTTTCTCCCACCTCCTTGACATGCCTTCGTGTCGTGGTGGTCTGCACGCTGGGCGCGTATTCCAGAGGTCCGCGGTTCGATTCCCAGCAAAGGCGTTGCTTATTTTTCATCTTGCCTGCATACTAATGCAAAATGTTAGACACGACCTTATAGATTTTTAAAAATACAAAAGAATAACTTGTTTTGGGGGTGTTATCGAGATTAATCTAATGTTCATTCCTACCTTCGGTTGGCTTCATTCGAAACCGATAGGAGTTTTGAATTTTAACATGTCGCTAGTTAATTATGATGGTAGCAAATCTATCTAAAGGCAATCTTATTTTGAACGAGAAAATAATTCCGGCTTCAGAATTCACAAATGCTCTTCAAATGTGTTCTCAAATTCAGCGCCGAAAATGACACATGACGAAGGTAAGAAAAACGAATTTTTAGTTTACTAGTGGTTCTAATTATTTCTCATTAACAGGATGAACAAAAAGTAAGACTCATTATCAATAACGATTGATTAACATATGCGAGTAAACAGGAACAGCACGTAATGCCCATCTGGGCATCAGATTTTATTTCTGCTCAGTTTGTCAGAAATTATACTAATTAAAAGATCATAATTAAAAGGTATTTTTAATAAGCGAGTGCTTTTGCAAATATTCGGTAAAAAAGGAAATGAAACTTGACTATCTTAACATTTTTTATACGGTTACTAGATGGAATTTTTTTTATCGAAACGGGAGAGAAAAATTTTAAAATGTCTCGCAATCACCTTACATCGAAAGCATTTATCATAATAAAAGGGCTTCTGTATTTAATTATCAAATATGGCTGCCGGTTTCATCAACGATAACTCATTTCTCAGTACATAAATCAAAATGTTTAATGACAGAATAATCCTTTTGTGAATCATTTTCGGCACTCTTATTACAAACAGTGCATTCGGCATTAGTTGTTTCTTGATTCAAATAAGCACTCCATTTTATCTTATCTTCTGTTTATG